CAAAAAAAAAAAAAAGTCTGATTGTAATAGAAATACTAACCTATAAGACCCTGTATACTTTGGCTGTTGCTGCTCCTCTCTGAACTCTATTCTTTCTGAACGCTTTTGGAAAGACTCATCCAAGCACAGTGCTTTTAACTATTTCTCCTGTAGTCATCTTAGATGGTATATTTACTTGTAACCAGTCCCATTACTCGCCTTCCCATGTTCTTTTCCACATTATTTATCACCTTAAATACACTTAATTTGGGGCTGAGCCCCATTGGTAGCTCACTGCTTGAGGGCCCACTTAGCATGCCTGAGGCCTTGAATTCCATCTTCAGCATTACAGTTAACAAAAAAAAAAAAAAAAAAGAAGGGAAAAAAAAAAGACGATGGGCTAGTGACACCTGCAATCCTTGGGAGCCTTCAAGGCCAGCCTGGACAACTTCATGAGATCCTGTTTCATCATAAAAAGGGATAGGGGAAGTGTCTCAGTCCCAGGCCACCACTTGCCTAATGTGGGTGAGGCCCTAGGCTCAATCCTCAGAACTGCTTTAAAAAAATTATGTGCGTGCGTGCGTGCGTGCGTGCGTGTGTGTGTAAGTGTTTATTTTCTTTTTTTGTTTGTTTTTGGAGACAGGGTCTCTAGGGTCTCTCTTTGTAGCCCAGGCTGCCCTTAAACTTCCAGTGATCCTCCTGCATCAGCCTCCTGAGCGAGTGTTGGGATCACAGGTGTGCAGCACTATGATATCCACCCAGCATAGTGTTTATTTTCATTGTCTTCCCAAACTGGAATATGTAGTGATCTTTTCTTTTTTGTTCACTAAAGCATTTTTTTGGGTGTGTGCTACTGCAGGTTGAATCCAGGGTCTCTGCACTAAGCCACACTCCCATCCTTTTAAAATTTTAGGACAGGACCTTGCCAAGTGACTAAGTTGCGTGTGCTGGACTTAAATTTGTGATCCTCCTGCTTCAGACTTCTAGAGTTCTGGGATTATGGACATGCACCGCTTTACCTGGCTCACTAATGCATTCTGAGTGCCTTAGGGTAGTGGTCGGCATCTAGTTAAAGGTCTTCAGGAAATAGTTCTTGAATTAATGAACTTTTTGTCTTAATGTTAATCCTTGTATATAGCTTTAGTATTTATAAAGTGCTGTGAATAAATTACTTTTTGTTGTGGTAGGAGGGCCTTGTGCGTTAGGTAAATGTTCTAGCATTCTCAGTCCTGATTGAATCATTGTATAAATAAAAAGGTGTTTTTGAGGAGCTGCTTCCTGCCAGAAAAATACATATAGTAGGGACAGACATTAGCTGTAGTCCCAGAAATAAAAAAGCAGCTGTGCTGAGAATAGCAAAGCATGGTGCTCTGGAAATGTAACCTGTGAATTTATGTTTCTCTCTTAAAAAAAAATTTTTTTTTTTTTTTGTACTAGGGATAGAATTGGGACTGTTGCACTGAGCTTCAGCTTCAGCCCATTCCCTCCCCTCTCTTGGTTCGAACTCAGGACCTGGTGCTTGCCAGGCAGGCAGTACCATTGAGCTAAATCTCTGGCTCTCGGCCCATTTATTTATTTGAGACAGAGTTTCACTGTGTAGTCCATACTGGTGTCAAACTCTCTGGGACCCTTCTGACTCTCCTCTCGAGGGCTGTTGGTATTACAGGCACACGCCACCATACCTGGTTCAGCCCAGCCCATTTATTTTGAGATAGGGTTTTTGTAAGTCTCCTGGGCTGGCCTAGAACACAGGAACCTCCTGCTTTAGCTTCATCATCCCCAATGGGATTTACCGACAGGACCCACCATGCCTTTGTTTTTCTTGCATTACTTGGGGATGAACTCAAGGACTTCACACTGAGCTATGTCCCTAGCACCCCCTTCATTAAAAATTATTTTTAAGAAAATTTTGAAACAGGGTCTCAGAGAGTTCAAGCTGGGCTCAAACTTAAAATCTTGCCTGGGATTGCAGTTGTATAACACCATGCCTAGTCTGAGAGTACTTTTATTTTATTTTATTTTTTTTGAGACAGGGTCTCAACTACATAGTTGAGACTAACCTGGAACTCACTATGTAGCCTAGGCTGGTCTCGAACTCACAGTGATTCTCCTGCCTCAGCCTCCCAAGTACTGGGATTACACGCCCGGCTGAGAGTGCTTTTAAATATCAAATATTTACATAGGGCCTTTATTTCTTTTTTGGTTCTGTGGATCAAACTCCGGACCTTATACTTTCAAGGCAGGCAGAACCACTGAGCTAAATCCCCAGCCCTAGGGCCTTTCTTTTTTTTGTTTTTTGAAACAGGGTCTCATTATGTAGTTGAGACTGACCTGGAACTCACTCTGTAGCCTAGGCTGGTCTCAAACTCAAAGCAGATCCTCCTGCCTCAGCCTCTGGAGTGCTGGGATTACAGATATGCGCCACCACGCCCAGTTTAGGGCCTTTATTTCTTAAGGGATGTGAAAAAGACATACCATTTTGCATAGATAATTGAATATATTTTGAGTGCCTATTTTGTGTCAGGCACTCTGCAGACTCAGATACTCAGGAAGGGAACACCTGGAAAGATAAGGTATGAAGAAAGAAAGCAGGAGTCTTGAATGGCCTCAAACTCCATGGCAATCCTCCTGCCTCAGCCTCCCAAGTGCTTGTAGGGCTGGGCCACCATGCCTAGCCTGCATTTGTTCTTTAGTCTGGACAAACCATGGACTTTATGAAGGGGAGGTTGTTTTGTTCTTTGTATAAATGTGACTTTTTAAATTGTTATGGTAATAATTATTTTCTAAGTTTAGGATGGAAACGTGAGTATGAGGGTGACTGAAATGATTTTAAAGCTTAATTAGGAAAAGCCGTGCCGGGCATGGTGGTGCATGCCTGTAATCCCAGCACTTGGGAGGCTGAGGCAGGAGGATTGCTGTGAGTTCGAGACCAGCCTGGGCTACATAGAGTGAGTTCTAGGTCAGTCTCAACTACATAGTGAGACCCTGTCTCAAAAAAAAAAAGAAAAGCCATAATTGCTAGAGGATGTTTTAGTAAATGTATTTAACAGAATAGAGATTTAAGAGGCTCTGCAACCTACATGGTGGAAATCAGTGTTCATTGTGTACACTCTACAAATAATACCACTTTTTCTACTTTTATTCTAGAATGCTTGGTCCTTCCAGACTTTACCAATTGAACTTTATTTATTTATTTTTTTAAAGCTTATTAAGGACTTTCCACCTGATTCTTCCCTCTTGGTGGCATTTTTGGTTCTGCCCCCAGCAGATTTTACCTTCTTTTTTTTGGTACCAGGGATCGAACTCAGGTCTTTGTTCTTGTGAGACAGGTGGCAGAGCCACTGAGCTAAATCCCCGGCCCAAGATCTTCTTGATCCCATGAGTGAGAAATGAAGTCCAGGGCCAGGGATTTAGCTCAGGGGTTCCGGTGCCTGCCTGGCAAGCGCAAAGACCTGAATTCGACCCCTGGTACCCCCCCACCAATTGGGAGAAATGAAGTCCAGAGAGGAAAGGAAAGGAAAGGAGCAGAGGTCTGAGTGTGTTGTTGGGAATGCTTTACCTTTGTGCTGTACCTGTGGGAAACCGGTAGAGGTTTTCAGTTAGGGAGAGGCTCAGTTCAGGGCTCTGAAGGCACTTGGTGAATTGAAGAAATAATGAGACTCTTTATGTATATAAACTTTAACCTAGGTCTCCAGTACTGGGAGTTGAATCCAGGGCCTTTGCACTGAAATAAGTCCCCACCCCCCTCCCCTGCATTATTTTAATTAATTAATCAATCAATTTTGGTGCCAGGTATTGAATTTGTGTCCTTGCACTTGCGAGGCAGGCGGAGGCACCACTGAGCTAAATCCCTGGCCCATCCTGCTCTTATTTTAGAAGAGTCTTCCTAAGACACTGAGTTGTCTAGGTGGGCTCAACTTGGAGTTCTGTCTCAGCCTTGCAGAGTGCTGAGATTAGAGGAATGTGTCACCATACCAGGCTCAACCTGTGTTGAGTGTCAGTGATGGCAAACCTTTTAGAGCTTTCAATGATACAAACAGCCCACTGTGGCATGCCTGCCATAGGTTCACCACCACTGACCTAGGTCTTTTGAGCAGATGCTTCTGAAACTGGGGGAGAATTTACATTTTTGCTTTTTTTTTTTCCCCTGTTTGTTACTGGGGATTGAAGTCAGGGTGCTGTATAAGCTAGGTAAGCACTGTACCCTTAAGCTATATTCCCAATCCTTTGTTAAATTTTGAGAAAGATCTTGGATTGTAGTATTATCTGGCCTGGAACTTGTGATCTTTCTGCCCTGACCTCTCCACTAATTGGGATTATTGGCATATGCAGCTATGCTTGGTCCTCACCTCATTTTATTTATTTATTTTTTGCAGTGCCGGGGATAGAACCATGCTAAGCAAGTACTCTGCCACTGAGCTGTGCCTATAGCTCCCTGAACTCCATATATCACACACCAGTGAAAGTTTTGGATTTGCACTGGGCAGTGGACTCCTATTTTGAGTAGTAAAGCTTTACAGGAGTACTTTTGAGGGGAGTGTGTGTATTTTATAGAGGGGGTGAAGAATATTGGGCTACCATGGTAAGATACTCAATAGGTAAATGTGTTCATGGTCCAGAATAGAATATTTTTTTGTGCTGGGGATTAAAACTTAGGGCCTCACTCATGCTAGGCATGAATTCTGTGATTGACCTACAGCCTCAGACTCCCCAAATAATTTTATTTTGATCATACTCCTACCTGTCAAGCATATTAATAGGAATTAAGTATCTTTTATTGAATATCTCTGTTAGAGGAAGTTGCTAATGAGACAAAAATGATAAAAAGCTTAGAGTTGAAGTCAGATAGATTTTATTTACATGGAAATATTGGCCTGTTCTTTTAGCAGATTGCTGGATCATTACTTCTGGAGGATGTATTTGATCACAATATTGTGAAATATAGAAGCATTTTGGTTAGAAAATTTAAATGATTTCAATTTTAAGGGGCAGTATTTCTGTAGTACTGTTTCTTACAGTAAAATAAGGCTCAACTTCATAAAATTGACAGGTTTACTGTAGCACATGGATAATCATTTCTTTATATATTTGAATATATCTGTTAGCTCAGAAATTCTGAAAACGTTCTCAAATTTGTTAGAAATTGAAAGTTACAGCACCATTTTATTATAATCTATTTGCTTTTACAAGGAATTTAGTAATGAATGACCTTTTTGAAAGCTCTCAGAATTCATAGCAAATAGGAGAATAGGATCCTAGGCCTCAGCTGCAGTAAATTACAGCTTAACTGAATATTGATTATACCTAGACTGTAGTCAACAAGAAATAAGAGCTTCAGCGTTCATAACTTTGGCTTTTAATACGTTCACATGTCAAGGTAAACCAAGTACTACTGAAAATATTGACTGTTAGGGATGAGCAGCCACCCTTGGCCTGGTGGTGGTTTTTGGGGCTGTCTGGTACAGTCCGTGTACTGGCTGTCCTTGTGTGGAAAGCTTTGCCATCAACTTAACATGGATGTTGGGGGAAGGCTAGGAGATTTTTATACTTGGGCTTTTTTAGGATTGGGGTTGGAGGAAATAGGCTAGGCTGAGATGTCATAAATATGTTCTATAAATTTTTGCATGTTAATTTCTTTGTTTTTGTTTTTTTTGTTTTTTGGTACTGGGGATTGAACTCGGGTCCTTGTGCTTGCAAGGCAGGCGCCGGAACCACTGAGCTAAATCCCGGCCCTTGCAGGTTAATTTCTTAAAGCTAATCAGTTAAGTATGGCTTTAGTCGTTAATATAATTAATCCTAGTGGATTACTGTCATATATTTGACATTCTAGTTGTGCTTAGAACTAAATAGATAATTATGTTGTTCATCCTTATTTGAAAGTTTTAGCTTTCTGGTTATCCTGTCTTTGTGGTTGGCTCAGTGTTAATACAGGTAACCTTAAAACTGTCATGTGTCTCCTTTTGTTTCATAAATACTACAATTCAGATAACTTCCCATTTTTTTGGGTGCTGGGATTGAACTCAGGGACTCATGCTTGCCAAGTACGTATTTTATCACTGAGCTACACCTTCAGCGCCCAGATAACTTTTATTTTTTTCATTTCTTAGACTGCAAGTGGCAACGTGGAAGCGAAAGTAGTGTGTTTTTATAGAAGACGAGATATTTCCAATACGCTTATAATGCTTGCGGACAAGCATGCTAGTAAGTTAATTGTCTTTCTCTTGGATCAAAAAACATTTGTCTTGTGTTTTTTTGTGCTGAGAAGAAGATGCTTTCTGTTACCTGAAGGTTTTTGCCTTATATATCTTCAATGTAGTTTAAAATGACTGTAACCTTTCGGGTGGTGTTTTAGTTTTATATTTTCTTTTTTCTTCTTTTTTTATTTTTACAGTACTGGTGATGGAACACAGGACCCTTCTTTATGCTAGCCAAACACTTCTGAGCTACTCCCCCTCTCCAATTTAAATTTTCTTAAGTGGCATCATGCATGACTTAATAACTTAGAATACTGAAATAGCAGTCTTTGCAAGTGAACTTTATTTTAATTAATTAATTAATTAATTTGGGTTTTTTTGAGACAGGGTCTCACTATGTAGTTGAGACTGACCTGGAACTCACTATGTAGCCCAGGCTGGTCTCCATCTCACAGTGATCCTCCTGCCTCAGCCTCCCGAGTGCTGGGATTACAATCATGCGCCACAATGCCTGGCTGCAAGTGGACTTTAACTCACAATCATGGCATTGTTTTGCCATCTCCTCTTTTCAGTGGTATTTCTGTTTTTTTGAGACAAGCTCTCACAATATAATCCAGATTGGCTTTGAACCTAAGACGGCCTCGAACTTCTGATCTTTCTCGTTCAGCCTCCCAAATTTTGAGATTCTACCACTTCTAGCTATCAGCGATGGTTTTGGGGCTTTTTTTGGAGACAGAGTCTTGCTCAGTAATTCAGGCTGGCCTTGAACTCACTGTGTAGCCCAGGATGATCTTGAACTCAGGCACAGCAGGTGTGGTACCACTGAGCTAATTCCCTGGTCAATGGTAGTTTTTTGAAGGTACAGATTGGAGGAAATATATACTTAGCTGGTATTTTGGGGAACATTATTTCCTCTAATAAAACTGGGATATATATATTATATTATAAACTATGTTATATATTACATGTGTTATTGTGATGGGGATTAAATCCAGAGCCTTTGCACTTACCTACATTTACAGACCTTTTTATTGTTTTATTTTGAGATAGAATTTTGCTAAATTGCTGGATTAGAATTTATGCTGTTTCTTCCTAACCTCCAGAATAGCTGGGATTACGAGTGTGCACCAAAATGCTTGATCTCTCGTTCTTTTTTTTGGTACCGGAGATTGAACCTTGGACCTTGGCACTTGCATGGCAGGTGTTGGAACCACTGAACTAAATCCCCGGTGATCTCTTGTTCTTTACTAAGGTGATTTCACTAAAGGCCAGAATTGATAATTCATGAGGTTTTTTTCTTTTTGGATACTGGGCATTGAACATAGGGAGTACTGAGCTTCACCCCCAGTCCTATTTATAGGTTGATTTAATTTTTTTGTTTTTTGTTTTTTGCAGTACCAGGGATTGAACTCAGGACCTTGAGCTTGTGAGGCAGGTGCAGTGGCACTGAGCTAAGTCCAGTTGATGTTTAATTTTTTCTATTTTTGAGACAGGGTCTTGCTGTGTAATTCAATCTGGCCTTGAACTGACTTTGTAGCTCAGGCTAGACTCGAACTTTCAGTGATCCTTCTCTGCTTTAGCCTCCTGAGTACTAGAATTGCGGGTGTGTACTACCATGCTCAGTATCCTTTATTTATTTATTTTTGGCTTATGGTCTCATTATGTAGTCCAGCCTGGCTTTGTGTCCACTATGTAGCTGTTGATGGCCTTGAATTTATGATCCTCTTGTTTCAGTCTTCTGAGTGCTAGGATTACATATGTGAGTCTACACTTTCAGATTTTTTGGAAAGAGACTACGTCTTTATAAAGGTTCCCAAGCTAGGTGTAAAACTTGTGATCCGCCTGACTCAGCTTGGATTATATATTTTTGTGTCACCATACTCACCCATAGATACTGATTCTGTATAATAAAAAGTAGTAAAGAACAAGGATAGCTGCTTGTGGTAGCACGTATGTGTAATCCTAGCACTCAAGATGGTGAGGTGGGAGGATCACTGTAAGTTTGAGACCAGCCTGAACCACAAAGTGAGACCTTGTCCTAATCTGCTCCACCCAAAAGAAGTGTGAGGCAGACAGATGATGAGTTTGAGACCAGTCTGGGCTACAGAGTGAGACCCTGTCTCAAACCCAAAGTGGCACCTCCCCCCAAAAACCCAGTAACAGTGTATTAGGAAATTTAAAAATGCTTGTTAAAATGAAACAATGATTAGAAAGGCTGCATATAAAGAATGATGCAGAAGGCTAGGCGTGGTGGTGCTTTTCTGTATCCCAGGGCTCAGGAAGCTGATGCAGGAGGATTATAAGGGTTTGAGGTCAGCCTGGGATACATAGTGAGACCTTGTTTCAAAAACACAAGAACAACAACAACAAAAATGTGCAAAATTAAAAAATACTGGAAATACCTCAATATAGATCAAAAGACCAATATAAAATATGATAAACATTATTTTATTCATTAAGATTTTGTTGTTGTTGTTGTTTTCTTTTAGTACCAGGGGTTGAACTCTTGTGCTTGCGAGGCAGGTGGTGGAACTGAGCTAAATCCCCAGCCTTTAATTCATTAAGTTTATTGGTATTTTAGCTATACGATATGATGACATTTGTCATTGGGAATTTGTCCCTTTATTGGTTTAAAATACGGTAAATAGAGATTTAGAAAATAGATTCAGAAACCATAAGATTAATGAAAATAAATGAGGAAAAAAAGGAAATGTTACTAAAAAGAATGCTTCTGCAGAGGTGGATGAGAATCTGTTGAGTGAGTGGGAAAAGAAACAGATAACATCATTTCAAGACACCAGAGGGAAACAGAGGATCCTATCAAGTATTTAGAAACAAAATTAGCAACATAGAAAGGATCAGAGGTTTTTTTTGGTTTTTTTTTGAGACAGGTTCTCACTATGTAGTTGAGACTGAACTGGAACTCACTATGTAGTCCAGGCTGGTCTCGAACTCACAACGATCCTCTTGCCTCAGCCTCCGAAGTGCTGGGATTACAGGAGTGTACCACCACTCCTAGCTAGATTTCTTAATACTAGAGAAGTGAAGCATTTTGAGTTGAGAATTCAGTAACAATTTGAAAGAACAAATGAAGACTTTTTTTTTTTTTTTTTGGTTTTTTGAGATGGTCTCACTATGTAGTTGAGACTGACCTGGAACTTACTATGTAGCCAAGGCTGGTCTTGAACTCACAGTGATCCGCTTGCCTCAGCCTCCTGAGTGCTGGGATTATATGTGTGCGCCACCATGCCCCACTTATTCTTAGTTTTGAAAGCGGGTCTTGTTAAGTTGCTGAGGCTAGGCTTGAACTTATGATCTTCCTGCCTCAGTCACTCAAGAGTGATCATAGGCATGTGCCAAAACTCCAGGCATGAAATCTTGTATTTTTCATGTAAAAGTAATGTTATAGGAACTGTTGTTTGTTTTGTTTATTTGGCAGTTCTGGGGACTGAACCTAGGATCCTGCACATGCTAGGCAAGTGACGTACCACTAAGCTACATCCCCAGCCCCTGTTCCATTTGTTATGTTGACAGTTCATTATACTAATTATATCTCTTAATAATTTAAGGGTAACTAATGGAAGGATACAAAGGAATGGTTTAATTTTATTTCACCCACGATACTAAATAGTTGAATTTAAAATGGGCTGAAGTAAACTGGACGTGGTGGTGCATACCTGTAATCTCAGCTCTCAGGAGGCTAAGGCAGGAGGATTGACATGATTTCAAGGCCAGCCTGACCTACAAAGTGAGACCCTGCCTCAAAAAAATATAAAGGAGGAGGGAGGCCGAAATAGACCCCACCTGAATAGAAAGAAATACAAGAAGAAATTACTATAAATTTGGGGGTAGGTGGAGTTCAGTAGTGCATTTGTTTACCATGTTCAAGGTCATCAGTTTAATACTCTTCACCAGAAAAAAAAGCAAAAAAAACCCCCAAAAAAACTAACAGTAAATTTAAAATAAGAAGGCAGAAACAGTCCAAACATCACTGATAAAAATTGGGTTAAAGTCTCCTGTTAATAGTATTATTTATAACATGTATAAGTGAGCCCCCCCAAAGTTTTAACACATATCAGAAAGCAGGAACTACATAATTACTGTTTGCAAGGCCATAAGAAACAACTAAAAATAAGAGGAAAACCACCAGTGCCACTGTCCATTTTGAAATTTTAAAAAGCATAAGGTCAGGGATGTAGCTCAGTGGTGTAGTGCCTTCCTGGGAAGTGTGAGGCCCTGAGTAAAAAACAAAACAAAACATGTATCTCACTACTTACAAAAACCCCCCAAAGAACAAAAAACAAACCTGTAAGTACTTTTGGTACTAAAGAAATAAAACTGCATGGGCTGGGGATTTAGCTCAGTGATTCCAGCACCTGCCTTGCAAGCACAAGGACCCGAGTTTGATCCCCTGTACCAAAAAAGAAAAAGAAATAAAACTGCAGTTGTAATTACAAAACTGGAGAATTGCCCTGAGTTTGAGGCCAGCCCGGGCTACACAGTGAACTACATAGTGAGACCCTGTCTCAAAACAAATAAAAATGAAATTCTTTATTTCCGTACCTATAAAATGAACGAAAATTTAAAGCCTTCAAAGAATCCTTAAAAACCATTTCAGTAATTTTAGGGGCTGGGTTTGTAGCTGAGTGATAGAACACATGTTCAGCGTGGGTGAGGTTCTGTGTCCTATCTCTAGCTCCCCAAGAAGCAAAAAAAAACAACAATCAGAAAAACACTGGAAATTGCTTTTCAAAAATATTTCTTCAATATTGTAAATGTTTGTGTCCAGTATTGCCAATAGATGAGTTGGCAAAATTAGTCTCAAAATGGGTTAAGTTTATTGAAATCTCAACCAAACTACTCATAGGACTTTTTATATGGAACTCTGCAAGGTCATTCTCTTATTTATTGGGAAGGAAAAGTAACCAATAAAAGGCTCACTTTTTTTTTTGGTCTCACTTTTTAGTAAATGTCTTTAAAGTTACACATATTTCTTTGAGAACCATT